GATGAATATATCAAAGCAAACGTAAGCAAACATAATTGCCCTGTTGAGAGGTTAAGCACTATTCTAAAAAGACTATCGTGGCATAACACCCATTCAGATTCCTTCTCCAGCACTGTGCCCTGGGTACCCAGGCACACTCTCAAGCCCCACAACACGCTCTCAAATACTAGCTAGCTAACATCATCATTATCGTTGTCATTCCTGAGCCTGATCACCTCCTCTATTCAGTAGACAGGACTCCAAATGACTTTGAACGCTTTTCAACCTAAAGTTGCCTCAAAAGCCAAAGATTTGCCATCCCAAAGCGCATTCTGAAGGCGGCTCTCCCAAAGCTGTCAGAAGCCGCTTGGAGATGGCAGCACCTTGGGAACAAGGGTTCAACATGCAAGAATGACTCCTGTGCAGAAGTGTTTGTGTGTGACGTTTTGGCACATTTCTCCAAAAACCAGTCTCAGGGGGTTACGGGCACAGCTCACATTGTACCTGGGCCGTCACAGATGTCTTCCACACAATCCATCACGATCTGGACGGCCTGCCTTATACTGCCTGCCTTATACTTGGTCCCAAATGCGTCCAAGACAATTACCCTAATATTTAAGAAACAAACCACAGGGCAAACAGATTCAGCCAGATACGGTGAGAAGAATGCTGAGGCTCACTCAGACTTAGCCATCACGTGCTGTGTGGGCTTAGGGCAGTTATGCACCCTCTCTGGCGGTTCATCTCTTCTTACATAATATGAGGAGGTTGGACTAAAGGACCTCTAAGATGCTTTTCTTGGGTTATTAAAAACTATTCGAAATGTTGAAAAACAGATGAGCCGCAGAATTATCCGGATACAGTGGCAGGTGTGGGCAGTACGGGGAAAAGAGAAAGAGAAAGCCGGGAGACCTGGGATGAAGGCCTGGGAGAAGCTACAACAGCCTGGGAGCAGCCCCACTGAGAAACGGGACCCCCACTGCTCCTGGGGCCAAGGCAGGCTTCTCAGCCTAAGCTAAGCAGCCTCTCCGTAGGGGGCATTTGTTTGCTTTGTTCTTTGCTGCCCACCAAGGCAGCTGTTGAAAGCACAGGGCGGGAGCCGCCTCAGCGCCCGTCAGCACCCTGCCCGCGGGCTGGGGTCCTTACCCATCGTGTTGTTGGCTCGGGAGCAGGCTGTGCGCTTCAGGATCTCGTGCACCTAAAAGGGGACGACAGCAGAGCTGTGAGCGCCTCGTTCCCCCCGTCCTCCACCGTGCGTCACCCTCACCACTGCCTTGCAGGGGCGGGAGACGCCCGGGCCCGTTTGCAGCGAGGGCTAAGCCAAGCAGGTGCCTGGCTCATGGGCCGCACGTCAACCCCACTCAGACTTGAGGACTTTGAGGAAACAAGGGATGTAACCCCCCGCGCACACATCCCCCGCCCCTTCGCCCCACCCTGAGAAAAACAAATGAATAAAAGGCTAGAAATGGACTGCAGTTACAGGAGGTAAGGAAAACAGAGGAGCCCACCCCGGACCACATAGCCTCGGGAGGACCGGGAGGAAGCCCTGGCTCTGTGGGGTAGGGGACGGCGTCTGCCGCCCACGTCGGGGAACCTCAGGAAAGGCGGGGTTCTGTCTGGTGGGTCCCGGGGAGGGGCAGGCCCTCTCCCCCAGCCTGGAGCCCGGCTGACGGGGAGAACCAGTGGGGTAGCAGAGAGCTCCGGACGTGGGTGCAGAGGGTCCTGAGCAAACGTCAGGAGGGTCAGCTTGCGTCTGTAATGGGGCCATCTAGCGGAGCTGCTCGGGAGGCCAGCCAGGACGTGCACACTCCGAAACAGCAAAGGAGCTACCTCTATGTTGGTCACTGATGTCTTTATTTCGTGGTTTTTTTCCTGGGTCCTCATCCTGCCTCCCTGATCAGAGCATATCATACACTTCCTTGAAGATTCATGTCTTAGAGCACTGTCCTAGGCACACAGCAGCTGCCGCCTCAGTGGCTTTGCCTGCCTGAAGCCCTACGTGCCCAAAACAGCCTACAGAATCCCCTGGCCTATGGGGCCTGCAGGGGACTCTGTTTCTTACATGGGAGGAAAGGGGTGCTTCCCACAAAAGAATCAGGGAGGGACAAGCCTATGCCAGTCTATAAAGAGATGCCCAGCAATGAAGTCTGCCTTGCAACAAAAAGCTGAGGTGCTCAGACACCCACAAAGAAGCAGGCATAGGGGAGACATCCACAGATGAGGGTGAGGTCCTCCAGCCAAAGTCCAGGGCAGAATAGATCTCAGGACAAAACTCAAGGCTCTTTTCCCCTGTTCTCAGTGTGTGGCGGACTGAGGAAAGGAAGATGCTTCCAGAAGGAGAGATGAATGCTAGAAGATGTGTTATTCCATCGTTATTTACATTCCCATATTCCAGCCACAGCCTAAAGGGAGTGGTAAGTAAATAACTATGGGGTCCAAGAGTGTTTAATTCTTCTCCTAATATAGTGCAGTAATTCAACAGCAATAATAATTAGGAACAGCATTTATACAGCATTGAATTATTTTACGAGCACTTTGCAATTATCGAGTAATCTCTGCAACACCTTATAACTCCCCCACAGTCGTGGGACCCAAGCCACAGTGAGATTTCATTGGCTACTAATAGCATCAACCAAGAAAATGGGACGTTAATGCCTTTTTCCATTGGAAGAAAAAAGAAATCACATGCCCATTTTAACTCTGCCTAAGACACTAGGCTAAGGGAGCTGAGATTTCCTTGCCCATCCTGCAAGTAAGAGTTAATGCCATGTTTGCAGTGTGCCTGGGAAATCTCCTAGCCTCCTCTAATCACCTGTCCCTTCTTATTCCTATATTTTCTTACCACCCTTCTAGGTATCTAACCCTTATTCCTCCTGTGGAAACTTCAGTTCTTTGGTAAGGACCAATGGAAACGCACTTCATACTTCCCATGCGGGCATGTGTAAGTTTCTGGCATTCCTTGGGCCCCTCTTTCTGTCTTGTGCCCATAGGCTACGTGACCTCTAGGGTGATAGAGAATAAACTGATTGGTGAATGAAGATGTTCTACAGCTCATGCAGGGGCCACAGAAACACAGGCCATATGCAGATTTTTATTAGAATCCATCATCCTACAAAATTCAAACACTTGACATAAAGGCAAAACGACTATGGAAGAAGAGCTATGGTCACAAGCGTTGGCTTTCTAGTGAATGGGCTGGTGATATTATTCTTGGGCAAATGGGTTAACTAGCATTCCATGTTATATAAATTCACATGACTCTGTCATGGGGGTTGAAAGAAGGGAAAATGCATAAACAAACACAGTGGTCCAACCGTCAGAAGGACTAGTTCTAGTCCTTGTTCTGACACTAACGATCTATATAATTTTTTTTCAATGCATTGCTTCTCAGAGCCTCAGTTTCCTCTATGTAAATCAAGGGGTTCACCTAACTAATCCCTGCAGCAGCTATGACCTTCCCTGGTTTTTTTTTCCTAAGAACTTTAATGGAGAACCCATAAAGAGAAGAAGACGCTCCCCTTAAACCACAAGTGAGGGCAGTTATTTGCTGTTTCTTCTGGGGAATGGGGAAGTTCTTGCATACTTTTCTCAGTTGCTAGGCAACTCCAAGCAAATAACTGTGAGGTGGCAGGGAGGGTAAGAGAATGCCCTGCCAACTAGGGACTCAGCTCTTTCCCCATCCTCTTTCCTAACACAGTACTTACAATGCGGCTGCGGGTGGCATTATCAAAGAAGGTGTCCTTTTCCTGGATGTTGTACCTGGAGACACCAAGAGAGCAGATGGCAAATTCACTTCTTGCCCTGAGACCACTGCCACCCCAGGCCCACAGTAAATCTTTAGAAAGCAATATAGCAAGACTTATGAGGTACACACACACACACACACACACACACACAATGTTTATGCCCTTCTTGACTCAGTAATTCTAAAAACTCATCCTAGAAATTTCTCTTAGGGAGGAAATTCAACACACAGAAAGAAAAATAACATAAATAAAAAATGCCTATTGAAAAGGTACTTATAATAAAGATTATAACAATAAGATGCAATCCCAAAATCTATAGGATAGGGTATCATGCAGTCATCGAAATTTATAATTATGAAAACTTTGTGTATAGAAAAAGATTATACCATGTTAGAAAAATATATGATGATAAGGTTCCAAATGGAAAGTATGTAAAAAAGATACTGGTGCATGAACAAAGACAGTAAAAAATACAAAACAAAAAGAGTATCATTTCAGGGTGTTGGATTATCACTCTGATTCTTCAAAATTTCATTTAATGTCACTGTCATCTCATCCATTAGAAAAATCTTAATCATGCAAGGGCTGTGTCTGTTTTTAACTTCATACACTGAGCTTTCACTCAGAAAATAGCACATGGGGTGTGTTTGTAATGCTGAGGAAGCTGTGCTAGAAGATGCAGTGATGAAGGAAGGAAATATGCTCCCAGCACCCCAGGAGCTCCAATCACTGAAATGTACATTTCTCCAAGTAACTGACACAGAGTAGAACATGGGAACATGCAGACCATTGCTACGAAAGTTCAGAGGGTGAAGCGCATGCTTCTGGTTGGGAAGGGCAGAATATCCTTCAAAAGGAAGGTGTTGATGAACCAGTCTTGAAGGACAACAGAAGTAAAACAAACGGAGGTGCCTAGGAGGTTACCATTCAGATGCCAGCACCAGCATAAATGAAGGCCCAGGGAAGGGGACGCAGGGAAGCACCACAGGACACAGAAACAGCAGCAAGCCACCAGTCACCATGCAAGGCCCAGCTCAGCCACTTTGGGCGGTGTGACCCTGGACAGACTTAGACTTTGGTGTCTATAATAGAAGATAGTTAGATCTGGCCGGCCACCTCACAAGGGGGCATGAGTACTGAATGAGAGGGTAAATATATGCAAATGAAACAGCATATGCATGTGTGTAGGATAATAGCGAACACAGCAAAGATGGATAGATGGTCTCTCATGGACAATAGAAACACTGCTCCACAACTTCCACCTCCTAAAATGAGAAGGTCCTTCTTTCTGTCCTCTCTGCCCTTCCATGCCCCGGCCTTTCCCTCTCTTGCTCCATTTTCTCGTCACCCTTGATAGTTGTTAATTTTCTCATTAGCTCCTAGAGCAAAGTTGATACTTGACAGCTGCATCTCCCACTTCCCAGCTGTGGCTCCCCCTTCCAAATGTTCCCCAAGTGACTATCTCTGTGAAGAGCTTTTATTCAGTCTTCCTAGACAGGTTGCAGGGACAGGGGAAGACCCCTGAGAGTCAATGAATGTACAAGTAGGCAGCTGGAATCCAGAAACCCAGAGGCTTCATCCACCTTCTCTCCGGTTTATCATATCCTGTTGAAACCCTATTAGACTGGCAATTGGGAAGAAGGTTTTCCTGCAGAAGATACACAGGTGTCCGACCACTTTCTCACAGAGTTCCAAAGTTTATTGTTGGCTGCTCCCTGGTTTGCCCATCACCCTGCAAAATGGTCAAACGGTGGATTTCCTGCTGGACAAGCACCCTCAGCTGTTTGGGATAATCTCACATGGGGAGGGGGTTCACAAAGCAGGCACAGGGACAATGTCACCGTGAGAACATGCTTCCTACTCTCTCTCCCAGGCACTGGGGCACCCACTTTGGGAGCCCCAGGGCTGAGTCATGGAACAGCGTTCAATTTTCCTTCCCATCCCTTCCCACATCCCTGCTCCAGCAGCTTCAATACTCACAGGTACATCTTCTCCCTGGAGAACGGATAGGACAGGTTTTTCATCTTGTTGTTGCTGTGTTCTGGAACTCGGGGCTGCAGGGGCGAGCTCAGCTTCTGCAGAGCTGCGCTGAACTTCTTTGCAATGCTGCCTCCTGCTTTGATCTCGTACATCTATGAAAGGAAGAGCCACAGGTCTGAAAAGGGGGCCAGTTCCAGCAGAGAGGAATAGATTCACAAAAAAAAAGCTGCATGGACACAGATTCCTAGAGGTGAACATTGGAGAGAGGAAGAGCCTTGGAGAAACAAGAAGGAGGGCCTTCCCCTTTTCCCCAACGCTTTCGCAAGGACCTGCACTCTGGACTCCTCTCAATCCTTTGAGCTCATGGAGGTGAGCAGTGCAGAGGAATTAAGTGAGGAGTCCAGACTTTCTATATGACTCGATATCATCTTAGAGAAACTGCACACCTACTATGTGACCCTACTAGGTGCTTGACACAAATTAGCTCCAATGCCTATAGCAACGCTGCTGGGTAATACTATTTCCATATTATGATGAGACAATTAAGGCTCAGAGAGGTGAGGCAAATTAACAAAGGCCACATAGATAGGAACTGGGTGACAGAGCTTGGATTTAACTCATGTCAACCTAATCCAAAGTCTATACTCTAAAACCGAGCCACGCTTCTATGTGATCATGCAGCATCACATTCTTTGTGTTTTTCTTAGGAAATATCTGTGTTTAAATGAGTTTGCTTTCAAAGTATTGAACATTTAATGAGTACCTGCCTTGAGTAAGGCATAGATTTAATACCAAGGTAAATGTTAATATTTATAGTGCATACAGTTTTTTTATAATGCATAGCATGCTTTGCATACATTATAGCTTTGGATCTTTATAATTTGTAAATGGAGTCACTGAGACACAAAGGTTGTATTTCTCACAGCAAAGCTGTGACAAATTGATAATGGCCACACATTTTTTATACAAATTCTTTTAGGAGGTAGCATCTCTGTTCCCACCCGCCTTGAATCTGCATTGGTTCTGTGGATGTTTAACCAGTGGAGTATAGCAGGCATGACACTATGCTAGTTCCATCCTTTAGAACAGGGGTCCCCAATCCCCAGGCCACAAACTGACTGGTACTGGTCCAAGGCCTGTTAGGAACCGGACCACATAAGAGGACGTGAGTGGTGGGTGAGCAAGCATTACTGCCTGAGCTCTGCCTCTTGTGAGTTCAGAGGTGGCATTAGATTCTCATGGGAGCATGAACCCTATTGTGAACTGCACATGTGAGGGATCTAGGTTGCGTGTTGTGTTCTTTATGAAAATCTAATGCCTAATGATCTGAAGTGGAACAGTTTCATCCTGAAACCATCCCTGCCACCACCCCCTCTACCCGTGGTCCATGGAAATATTGTCTTCCATAAAACCAGTTCCTGGTGCCAAAAAGGTTTAGGGACCACTGCTTTAGAAGATAGGCAGCCTCAGCCTTGGTCTGCCTTATCCCTTGAAGCCCTGAATCACACCATAAGAAGTCTACAAGATGTCCTGAGAATACCCAGTGAGGGAAAGGCACTCAGCTGAGCCCAGTCTTCCAGTTGCCCTGCCAAGCAGCAGGCATACCACTAAAGCCTTCCTGAACCCTCCCGTCCAGCCCACCTCTAAGCTGGCTACCACCAAGTGACCCCAGTCGACACCACATGAAGCAGAATAATCACCCAGCCCAGCTCTGCCCAAGTTCCTGACCAAAAAATCATGAGATAAAATAAAATGGCTGTTGTTTTAAGCTACTAAGTGTGGGCTAATCTGTCAGGCTGCAACGGACCTCCAGAACAAGAGGCAACATCCAGACCCTCTGACTCGAAATCCTATTTCCTTCTCTACCATGATAGCTTCACATCACTTCAATGTAGAGGGGCAGTAAGACCAGTATGAAATACTTGTCTTCATACTTGGGTACCTGAAACGCTCACTAAGATAGAATGAGAAAATGCCACAAAAGATACATAAAGTACTTTGAGGGTTCAAAGAAAGGAGGCAGCACATTCAGTTGAGGAATTAGAAAAATGTTTCTCTGAGGGAGTAGCATTTCAGTTGGATTTAGCAGAAGGGTAATCTTCTTCCGTTACCATTTTGTTCTTTAATAAAACAATGATAAGTAAGGACAAGGCAAGAGCCTCCCCAGTCTAACAATTGAAACATAACCACAGTTTATTTCGTTCTTCTAAACCTTTTTCTATGCATTTTGATTTAATTTCAATTACAAAATGAACAGAGTTCAGGTAAATGAACAAGCTTAAACCATTAAAGTATATTAACTAAATGTTAGGAGTTTCCTTTGACTTCCAACCCAATTCCCACCCTCTTCTCCAAAGGGAACCTCGCTTAACGGTTGGGAATATATTTAATTCCTATCTTTCCGTATAGATAGAACTAGGTTCCTTCCTAAGCAACTGTGACCCTACTTCACATATTCCTCTATAATTCGCTGTTTTTATTTAGCATTATATCATAGATATCTTTCCAGGACAGTCTGCATACAGCTATTGTAATGGATGCATAGTATTACACAGTAGACATGAATAGTAATTTGTTTAGCCATTTCCCTAGTGACAGGCATTTATTTCATTTCCTATGTATGTTTTATATCTTGTTTTGTTCATATTTCTGTTAACATTCACTTATAAATACTTTTGATTAATAAGGCTTGAACAGATACAGGCAAAGACATTCTAGGCAAACAAAAAAGTGGAAATGTTCAAGCTGGGTTTCAGGAGGGTTACATGAGCTGGTTTGCTTGGACAAAGGGGTTCTGATGGGCAATAGTGACAATCTTCATGTGCAACAATATTCCGTTGCCTTGTGCAGCAGATTTCCATGCAAACTCAGTCGAGGAAAACTGAGACGAGTGCGTGGAGATCTGCTACACAAGGCAGTGGAAGACAGTGAAGAGTGTGAACAGCGACAAAACCAGAGCTGTGAATTAAGAAGATAATCAAGTGAGTTGTGTAAGAAGACAAAGAGTAAGCCTGCCTTCTGAAACAAGGAGATTGTTGATTCTAGTAGCATGTACCATTTACTAAGTATCTCCTGTGGGCCTGGCTTTCAAGGTACTTTAGCACTAATCTTAAAATATGTCGCAAAGCCAAGAGAGTTAAGTATCTCAGCCAAGATCACACAGATAGTCTAGACAAGCTAATAACCAACGGGGTTTAAAGCCCCTCACGAAGTCCGTGTTCTTGACTGCTTTACTCTACGGTTTAATTTGCTAAAATGTGAGTTGTCATGGGGAAAAACAGTGTACAACTTACAATATTGCCTCTATTGTCGTAAAGGTCTTGACCTTTCTACCAAATCTCTCCTTCACACAGATCAGTCACTGCAGTGCACAGAACTCACCTCTCAGGTGTCTCTGGCCTGGAGGGATGGAGACAGAAATAAGACCACCTCACACTGTCACAGAACACCTCTTATAGGCCATTCAGTGCAGGTTCTGACCAGACACCTGACCTGCACTGAGACTATGCAGTTCACCATACCATACCCACATGTCTTTAAATGGCATGTGTGCGGAAATTAGTTTCAGAGTAGGAGGGAAGCTGATGGATTCTGTCTTCCAGATGCCTTTGAATGGCAGATTTGGACCAACCAGGACTATTCCTTCTCTGTCCACTCCTCTCCATCTCCACCTCTGCTACCCTAACCTAAGCATCTTTTAGTAGTTTACAACAATAACTGGTCTATAACCAGTTTCTCCACATTTTCTCTTGCTAAGGGTTGCCAGATTTAACAAATAAAAACACAAGATGTCAAATTAAATGTGAATTTCAGATAAACAATGAACAATCTTTAGCATAATTAGGTCCCATGCAATATTTGCAACCTATTTAAAACTTTTTAAAAACACAGTTAAAACAATAAATTTTTAATATAATTATGTCCTATGTGGTATTTGGGACATACATATACTAAAAAAGTATGCATTGTTTATCTGAAATTGAAATTTAACTAGGCGTCCTGTGTTCTATCTGACAATTCTACTCTTGCCCACCTCCAATTCGGTCTTTACACTGGAGCCCAAGTGAGGTTTCTGAAGCAAGAATCTAATCTTCTTGCCTCCTCATTAAAAAGCCTTCAACAGTCACCCATTGCTCTCAGGAAAAAGACCAAAACTCTTAACACATCCCATGGAACCTGTAGAAGTCTCCATATTTACCTTTCCGTGTACTTCCTACTGACTGCACCCAGACACTGGCTGAGCTGGGCACATCTCCTCCCCAGCCCCTATGGCCCCCACCTCCCCACCCACTGGCTCACCAAGCTCTGTTCACACTGAGGTTATTATTTTTTGGCTTCCAAACAATGGCAAGTCCCACCTTCACTGTATTTCATGAGCCCTAATTCCTTTTTTTCATAACACTTATCACAGTTGTAATTTTATACTTATTTGAGTGACTGTTTGATGAATGTCCAGCCATCCCTACCAAACCATAATTCCATGAGGACAGGATACTGTCCAAAATGTTCCCTATTGTTTTATGAATGAATGAATGAGAAATCTCTGGAGAAACAGCATTGATGACAGCAGTTGCTGTCACTGGAGGAGCCCAGACTGAAATCCAAACAGCCATAAGACAACTCGTCTGGTTTTGGTAGAAATAAACCAGGCTAGAGGTGAGCCAAAAGCCTAAGGCCTCTGATAGGCCAAAAGGCTCCCCCTCCTGCCCCTACCAAGTGCAAAAGCACCCAGGAGTGTAGCACCCACAGGGGCCAGGAATGCCTGCATTTAGTTGATGCAGATTTCTAACCCATCGATTGTTTCAGGGTCTGGCTCTGGCAGACGTTCAGCTGAGAACCTCCAGGCAGTTCCTGAGCCTCACCGTGGCAATGGATCTGGTAGGGCTCACCTAGAGAAATGGGCTAACGGGAGTGGGCTTCCACGCTGTTTTCACTGGAACCAGGAGTGGGACTGGGGTAAGTTTCAACTGTTTCTCGATGGAGGATGCTCCGTATCACTGAAAGGAATATTGTTGGCTGCCTTCAAGAGTGTGGAAGGCCAGAGTCCCACCAGAAACCTCATGGTAACATCAACTGCATAGCCCTGAACAAGACCCTACACAAATGTCCCACAGCAGACTTGTGTGGGAAGAAATTTCCAGACTTCAGGGAC